CCCTCCTCCTCCTCCTCCTCCTCCTCCTCCTCCCTCCGGACGATGATGAGCATGATGTCATTGGATCTTCCGGATCTTGATATCGACGTAGATGGCTGTGTTCGAAATGGAGAGGGGGTGCGCAGAACTGAGGGGTTGTTGCAGTTAGGACACAAACTCCAACAACCCACCCACTGCACACTAATGCTTCGGTTCGGTTCGGTAGCGTAGCAGACGGATGGATAGATAGTCGTCACTAGTTAGCCTCGAGGCTTCCCCGGGTTTTTCTGGGGTGTTAAGTTCGGAAGCTTAGCTCTGGACCCATGAGTAGAGAAAACGTCAGAATTGAAGACTAAATTGTTCCTCGGGATCCGGTGGAATTCCCCCTCCCCTCGGCGCCGCGCCTCGGCGGGGGGCCACCGAGTATAGCATGCATACTGTACAGTACTGAGTAAGCTTGGGGTGGGATCAAGAATGGCTATCTGCTGTACTGGACTGGAGCGGGCAAGCTATGTACATGCCTGAAGTCAAGATGGTTACACGGCGGTGGTGAAGAAGGCAAATCATGTTTGTGCAAAGCCCCGCGGCTTTTTGTTTTACGAAATGGGCAGGGCAGGGCATGGAGGGTCGTGTTGCTGCTCAAAATGTATGAGATGGCGTTGGGGTAGGGATAGGAGAAATGTCGAGTGGTGGAGGTGGTATGTATGGAATGAGGGTTTCTTCTGGTCCATTTGACGTCTCTCTATCTATCAACGCAAAGGAGACAGACCAATGCAGGTACAGTACCTCACGATGCGCTAGCTAGTTCTTCTGGGGGACCACGCAACTCTACGAAAAGAGCGCTTCAAAAATGTGTCGAGTGAGTTCCATCTAGTCTAAGCCACATAACATAACAAAGAATATGCTCGGTATATATCCAATCTTGCAACAATAAAATTACAATCTCCTCCGCCATTAAGGAGCCGAGTCCAACGTCCCCTTACCCCCCGTCGAAGCCGTAGCATCGGGTCCCTTCTGCTGGCGCAGCTTCTGCTCGAACTTGGCGAATTCGTGCATCGAGATCTCTTCCTCGGGGTCCATCGCTTGCTCGACACCTTGAACTTCCTCGATCTGTTTGCCAGTCTATTAGCCAAACCGCCTATGACCTTGCCATACCTTGATGGAGTGGGAAAAAGGGGGGGGGGGGCATACATAATGCATCAACATAGACTCAATCCCGTTCTTCAGCGTCACCGTACTGGAGTCGCAGGTCCGACAGGCACCGCGCAACTTGAGCAGGACGATGCCATTCTCGAACCCCCGGAACTCGATGTCGCCGCCGTCCTCTTGGATGGCCGGGCGGATGCGCGTGTCCAGCAGCTCCTTGATCATGCCAACCACCTCATCGTCCTCCTCGTCGAAGCGCAGCGAGTCCGCCTCCTCACCTTGCGAAGCCTCGCCGCCCGCCTTGGCGACGGTGTTGACGATCGACTCGCCTGACGTCACGGCCTGCGTGATCAGGCTGAAAACCTCGGGTTTGATGTGCGCCCAGTTGGAGTCGGCGGCCTTGGTGACGGTGATGAAGTCCGGCCCGTAGAAGACCGAGGTGACGCCCTCAACGTTGAGGAGCTGTGCCGCCAGTGGGGACGGGTGCGGGGGGGCGAGGGTCGAGCGTGGGGAGAGATATTCGAGGAAGGTGGTGGGGAAGTCTTCGGGGAGGACGCGGTGGTTGGGGATGAATTTGAGGGCCTGCATTTATGGCTTGTTAGAGGGGTCGTTTCACGATACCTCCAGGATATTAGGCGAGTGAGGTCCCATAGGGCAAGTCACGTACATCAGGGTTCGGGGTGTTCTCCGTCTGGATGAATATCGTGCGTTTGCTCGTCGGCGCCGGGCCGTTCACTCGCGCCTGCACGAGGGAGTGGTGGTGAGGTTGCAGAGTAGGTCGGCGACGGGTCTCGGAGGGAGTGATCGCGGGCAATCGTGTTGAGCGATGGACGCTGCGGTAGGATCCAAACACCGCCGGCCGGGCGAAGCGCGAGGCCTCGAGAGCGCCGCTGCCACCACCGCTCGTCAATTTGCCGCCCAGCAGGGCGGTGCGTCGAAGCATGGTTCTCCCGGATGTAGAGCTGACAGACATGGTGTGCAGATTTGATTGATTTGGGGGGAGTTAAGGCGCAACAACTGGTCGAATGGTCTTCCGTTGGTGGCTAAAAACCGTTCTTCGGAGATGTTGAGAGATGGAGGACTGATCGATAATACTTTCTTCTCCGACCGCTCGGCCTCTGACGCAATGAGTTACACGTGACCTTCGGCATAGAATTGATGACAAATTCAGGACTGTCGGTGGCCAATCACAATCTTACTGTTTGACATCTTTTGCCGATGCCGGGGGGGCCCCGGTTTGCTGAAAAGTCTAGATTATAGGGAACTGAGCAATGGGTGATTCGGGATAGGCCAGAAAGTGTCACTTGGGTCGATACTGCTTGTGATTTGTATGAGTAGTTGACTGAATGCCCATGTCTACTATACGCGGCATGGTTTATCGTTGTGGCGACTGCCTTTCACAAAAGTATACTTGCGCGAGGTAGACTGCATGTAAAAAACAATGAGATTATCAACTCCTGGAAAGGAAGAATCACTGAACTGGCTATCGCACTCTCCAAGTGAAGTATCTAAACAATCGCATGGGAAAGGGTTACATTAAATTGGTGTACAGTGGATTACTGTAAATCTTTGGCCATGAGTGGCGAGTCGACAGCAGTCAACGTTTAGACATGTTGTTGAGGACGTCGGATTCTTCCATGCGCAGTGCATGACTGGGCGGCAACCTCACTATCATGGTGGCTGCCAAGAGCTGTCAAGTCGAACAGCCGCAGCTAAAGTCGATGAAATTGTGGTTGTCTTCTGTCTGTCAACAAACGCGTCAACCAATTGTATGATCGGCTCTAGGGTGACTGATGATCTCAAGAAGCTGATTGACCACCAGAAAACAATAAGATCAGACTAATCCTCTTGATTCTGTGCAATTTCGCACACCTCGTGCAAGAGGAGTAACAAGAACCAGGCGACACGTCGGTTGAAAGACGCATGTCATGCGTGAAGAAGCCGACTGAGTAGTGAGGGCAAACAGTGAGGCAGCAACTGTAGGTATACCCAGCCAGTGGAAGAAGAGCTGTGTGGCTACTAGTAGCCACCTCTCCTCGACCTGCCAGCCTGTCGGTAAGTTCTTCCACGGGCTCAGGTTGCACCGCGCCACACGACGGCTCTACTCGCAAGGTCATCACGCAACCACTTTGTTTAACATCAGCCGCTCGAAGCTTGCACGACGGCAAGCGGCCTGCCAATTGACCCTCTGGACCCAGAGGGTTAAGGGAACTGACAGACGGTGGAACAACTTCCCGGCCACGGCTTTCTTTCGTATTTACCCCGGCACACCGATTGGTGGTTGCTGTTGCAGCCCTTGCACATGTGCAATCCATGCGATGAGTTCCGGTGGGGACGAGTGGATCGGTTTATGCTCTCATCAGATTCCAGCAGGGTACGGAGTACAGAGGCACCCATGATTTTGAGGCAGGCGCGGGTTTCTCACCTGGCGGTGGGGGCTGAGATGTCTCTACCTAGGGGTTTGTCTCCGACCGACTCTGCTGTGTCTAATTCCCAGCAAATCGCTGCTTAATCTGTATTTTGACATTGTACCGAGGCCGGTGATGAGGGACAATGGCTATAGCCCAAGAGTAGCCTCTCCCAATCCAAAAGTTCAGGGAGGGTTTTCAAGCCCTTCCTACCATGTGCTGTCCTGTAACTACTGCACAATCTAGGGGTTAGTGTCATAAAGGGACTGCGTAATGTGATTGAGTCTTTGGCGTGATGACTTATTGGAGAGTTAGATCATGAAGCTACTAGCAGCGGAAGCTGTAATTTTATATATTCGCACGCTGGTTCCTCCTACGGCTTGAAGTACCAATAACCATTCTTTACCCTGTATCATGATATAAATCCTTATGCTCATGCGAGTCTAATTCTCAAATATATTTGCTCTTAAGCCTGGGTCAATGGTCTAGGCTGTGATGGCTCCTGTAGTGATCGCAAAAGCACCGTACGCTATCTTGACAATGGGGCGAGTGTGACCGCCTTCCCGAGAAAACCGCGCTAAGCCCAAAATATTCCCTCTGGATGCAAGTTGCAGCGGAGCACATGGTCGAATCTTTCCCCCGCGGAGATCGAATCGACCCGGCGTGACATTCCTGCTTGGTTCACCTTTCGTTGTGACCGGCTTCTGCAGGACGATGGTCCTCAAGATTCAGTCATAGCGCTACTAGCACGCCTGAAGACTGCGAAAACAGACTGGCAATAAAATGCCGGGGACTTGCGAGGTCTGCGTGTCGGAGCCTTCCAAATACCGATGCCCGACTTGCGGGTTGATGAGGTATGTGAGCAAATTTCTCTCTCGTGCTGTCTTCAAGCAGCGCAGGATGAACCCAAACCCTTCGGCTACGCGTGCAAGTACTCATTGTAGTCTTCTAGTTGCTCCCTCGCGTGCACTCAATCACACAAGATCTATTGCGCCCCGAAGGCACTGCCGCCGAACCCGGCGGAAGATCAAGAACCCTCTGCTGCAGCCATTGGAGACACCCCCGAGGCTGAAATGCCTCAGACGGAGACCGGCCTCGATATCAAATCCTTAGGAACCTCCAGTCAGCTCAAGGAGCTCCTTGATCGCTTTCCTTCTCTGCGGGATCAGCTTCAGGATATCTACCAGGCTACTTTGGAGGAGGAATGGCAGGAGACCCAACCGTACGCCGGTCGGCCACGGGGCTTTGGGAGAGGCAGAGCGACGCACCGTCATCGGGGACCGTGGACGCGTGAGAAAGGGTTCAACCGGGGAGTGGGCAAGGTCAGAAAGCTTCGGGAACGATGTGAAGAGGGGGATGAAGTCGGCAAGAAAGCAGAAGGCTATATGCGCTTCATGGCCTTGATCACGGGGAATCAGCTACCTGAGGCTGCATGAGAATGTGCCCGTCTGGTTTTGTTGGTGCGTCTTGCAGCGAGAGGCAAGGTGGCAAACTACGCTTCCCACCGGAGAAGTGCCAAGACTGCACGCAGTGCAGGTTTGAGCTTGACCAGCCGACCAGACCAGGTTGATGCTGCTTCACCGAGAAGCCAGCCGCTTTGCTTCTCACCCTCGGGGACACGTGTGAGCGAACTAGCTGGAGAAGGCGGTGTTGTCCGGCGTGTTACTATTACAGCACAGCAATGCCATCAAAGAAGCAGCGTGTATATAAACAGTATAGCCTCTCTTAACAGGCCATCACAAAGCAATTGGATCTAAAACACTCGTGTACGAAGGTAGCCGGTTTGGTAAGAAAGGAGGAGATACCACGTGTACTATAGTGTAGATCTGACTCAGGATGGAGCTACAGGCGATAGTCTGTCGACCAGATAAGCTGTTTTTGCCGCCACGCAGGCCGATCGTCGTGGATGGAGCAGTCAAATGATCATACCCCGTAGGTAATCCAGACTCTGGGGAATACCAGAGGGCCAATGACTGCTCGTATCGTGCGGATAATCTGGGGTCACCCTACCAATAGCATTATTGGGATTGCCCTGGTCGCTGGTCGCATTTCTAGGGATTGAGGATCAGGCTGTCCATGGACATCCCATCCCGAGCGATTTACCCGCACGAAAAGTGGGAGCGGGGGAGATCGCTGTGGATGGATTCCTTCTCCGTATTCAACGGAGTGATCGTACTCAGTGTTCAAGTAAGGTACTAACTAGTAGTCACTGCCGCGGTTGTTCATGCCGACCAACTGGGATTCGCTGCAGGTTAATCTAAAAGGAAGGATTGATTTCTTGCTCTTTGGAAATAGACCAGGTCAGAATTTCTCCAAATGGTGGCTGATTCTTGGCTCAAGTCGCGTAGAATGTTGGGAGGAGGAGGTAGTGGTGGTGGTGGTGGTTGTTGGAAAGAGGAAACGGAGGGGGATGTGATTGGGATGAATTGAATTGTCATTGTTGGGGAATGGCAAGTTTCAAGTTCAAGGTTGCAACTTGGAACTTCCCGTAGCTCACTGCACATCCAAACAATTCCCTTGACTGCTACTTCACTTCCTTTCTTCTCTTCTAACAACAATCAATCCCTCTATGTGACTAGTGACTAGACAGGATTATTCGGCGACCAAGTACCGAGTTGTCGTTGTCAGCCATATGCCTCGTGTTGCTAATTTTAATTGCAATCCTCCGCAGTAACGTTAGTTAGCTAGATAAGTAGTTGCTAACTAGCCAGGTAGGACTAGGCCCCAGAGGGTCTTCCTCCCGTCTACTCCCTCCGTCTACGTCTACTGCCCCGTCAGCCCCCAGTTGTCACTACTACTATTAAGTTACTTTGACTTACTTACTACCTAGTACTTACCACAAGTGCTGTACTAGACTACAGTACCTACCTACCTAGTACTGCGTGCTGTCTATCCGTCTCCTCCGACTTTATTCTTTCCTTTTTCTTTTTTACCCTCCCCTCCAGCCTCTTCCCTGCCCTCTCCGATCTGATTGTACTGTACCCATCGCCGACTCGGTCCCTCCTCCTCCTCCTTTTTCCCTCTTCTCCCTCTCCCTCTTTCCCCCTTCCCCTCCCCCTCCACTCCCCCTCCTCTGCTCAATCAATCAATCTGTTCAATAAATCTCTCGTCGGAATCTCTCGTCAGACTGTGCTGCCTCAGTCTGCTTCCCCCCCATCTCCTGTCCTGGAATTGTGAATCGTATTCCCACGAGGGGGTTCAGCTGGTGGATTACTAGGAGGTATCTTGTTACGGCTGCAGAAGAGACCAATCAGAAGCGGAAGAGAAAAAAAAGAACATCCCTCCGGGCCAGACAACGGGCGGCGGAAAAACGACCAAACAAAAGATTCCCTCCCCCTTCGACTGAACCAGTCCTACGCATTACTCTTACTCTGCGATCATTTATTTTATTTTTCATTTTTCGAAAAAAATATTCCGTTTGCTCATTTGATTGCAATACAAAACGGATTTCAATTGCTGATCCTTCCTCTACCGACCTTGTACGAGCGACAATGGATGAGCTGCTGTGTCCGCCTCCCTCACTTACCTAGCCGTTGAAACCTCACGCTGTCGCACCTTGTGTGTTTGCTCGATCGGACCCTCATCTGCCCCGCGGCCACTGTCTACCCGTTCGCGCACTGTCCTCCCCCCTTGAACGACCCCTCATGGATTCTCAACTTCCGAATAGAGAGCGAGCGGTATCTAGCGATAGAGCCGAGGCTGCGCCCGTCCCGCAGAGACCGGGGCTCCCCAACCGCACCATCTCCGCTCCCGCTGGGGGCCTATATAAGCTCGATTCGGCCAGAATGGCCATGGGCTCGGTCAAAACAGAGCGGACGTTGGTGGAGGAAGATGAATCATCGCCCTCGGTGGGAGGAAACAGGATCTCATCCGCTCTCCCGGGTGAAGAAGTGAGCCGGTTCCTTTCGCCGTGGTTTTATCCCAAGATATATTCTTTGGCAAGGTTGTCTGACACTCAATGCCATTGCAGATGAAGCAGCAAAACGGAGGAAATGGGATTCCGTCAAATCACACCGGCAATGAGGTGAGCCTACCTTACGAATACGTTTCGTGGCATAGCTGACCGCAGGCTTTGACGCAGCCCGCCCCGAAACCGAATTTCCCACACGTGAGCATCGCCGTGGTTGGCCCAGACCATGTGGGTAAATCAACTTTCATTGAGAGCGCACTAGATATGAAACACTCGCTCTCATCCCGGGCAACGACAAAGAAGATGTCTCTCGATGGGACGGTCTACCTCGTTCGGTTACTGGAGATTGATACACTGGAGATCTCGATTGGAGGCAATGGTGAGATCCAATGGCCAAAGTTAGGAGGCGATTCACCTCCTTCTGTGGATGGTGTGCTTGTCCTCCACGATGTAACACAGCCCGGGAGCCTTTCCGACATCAAAGGATTGCTAGGTCTGTTCTCTTGTTCCGAGCTACAAGAGCATCTCGGTCGGGATGAGAAATGTGTATGCTAACGGTTGCAGCCTCTCTGGACGCCTCGTCCATACCTTTTCGACTCGTCGCAAGTAAATGCGACATTCAACCGCCCCATGGTCTACTTGAGCCAGTCTTAGATGGCTATGAAATCATCCGCACCTCCCCAGATTCGCCACGGTCGCAGAAAATGTGCATCGCTCTGGTTTTGCGATCAGTCATTAGCGACAGGAATGGTAAGTGGTCTATTGAAAATCATTTCTTTTCTTCCCTGGGCCTGCAAACGAGTCCACGTTATCGGCAGCGGTCTACACTATAAGTGTCGTCTGTATGCCCACGGTGTCTCCGTCTCCCATGAGTCACCCAGATTTATCCACTTTTCTCTGAATTATGTCGGCTGTGGCCCGTCCATAGCAATGGTCCACCGCATGTCACGCTAGTTCGCGGCTCGGCTGCGCCTAGCGTTCGCGTTCGGACTTCGGAGACCCGCCCGTCCCCAGAATGCAGGCGCAGCAGCAACAGCGCCACCCCCGATTTCCCATGGATTTTTCCGACTGGCCTAGAACCTTCTGTGTCGATGCTAACTGCTGTTTTAGCTGAAGAGCACTCTTCCGACAAGACCGTCACACCGGGCTGGCGTCATAGTCGTGCCAACTCAGAAAACCCCACAGCCGTGTTCTCGGGAGCCGCAGGCGGCCCAATTACAACAGGAGCTCTGGACTCGGGGATCGATGGGTACGGTGTAGATCGTCAACTGACTGACTCAACCGCCTCTAGTGGTCAGGGCCCGCGCTATGCCCGAAGCAATTCTCAACCTCTCCGACCTCACACACCTCCCTCCGGACGACTGAATCAGCGCAAGCAATCCATCCCGGGAGAGTCATCCCCCGGCAAGGACTTCAACCGACAACATCGACTTCATGCAGCCTGGCGCAACAGTGGCGGATCGGACGCTTTCAGTAGCTTCATCGAAATGGGGGAAGAGATGGACGGGCCCCGAAGCATTCCTTCGAGTCCTGGAAGCAAAGACAAGACGCCGAGTGAGAGCTCTTCCAACGAGAATGGCTTCACTTTCGAGGAGTTGGTAGACCGGCTGGTCGCTCAGCCTATGTCGAAGCATGACTCCAAGTTTGCATCCATCTTCCTGTGCTTGTACCGCAAATTTGCCGCCCCCTCCTCCTTATTGACCGCCTTGATTAACCGGTTTGAGCGAAACGAGCGAGAGATATCGGACCAGCTTACGCGCATTGCCGACCAGTTGAGGCTGCTAACCGTCATGGCTCAGTGGGTATCGGAGTACCCGGGGGACCTAGCTTATCCGAAAACGCAGAAACGGATTGCCGAGTTTGTTTCCAACCTCGAGAAAAGCCATTTCTACATGTTTGCTGCCAAGGAAATTGGGTCTTATCTTGAGGCCAATGCGGAAGATGACAACATCGGATGGCCGTTCAGAGATGGCGAGGTGGAGGAGGTCGAAGCAACGGAGCCCGCTTTTCAGTATTCGGGTCGAAGCTCCCCGTCGATCTTCCTTGGTCCCCCTCCGCTGAGCGATGAGGGTGACGAAGAGGAAGAGGATCCTATATACAGTATGAGTGCGTTGGACCTCAGCGAGGGCGCACTTGAGTCTGGGTCGAGGTTGTCCGCGTCCATGACGAATTCTTTCACCGCCGAAAAGCCCGGGACTGTGGCAACCCAGTCGTTCACGGCCCTCAACATCGACTCGGCCCAGAAGGAGGCTCGGCATTTGGATCTGACACCCCGCGTGCCGTTGACGAAGGTGCAATGGCGACAATTCATGGAAATTCCGGATGAAGACTTCGCTCGGGAACTGACGCGCATTGACTGGATCATGTTCAACTCCTTCCGACCACGAGACCTCGTCCGTCATGTCAGCATCACCGGAGCCGACAAAGACAAAATCCACAGTCTTAAGAACGTCAATCGAATGATCAAACAGTTCAACCACGTGGCATGCTTTGTTGCGAGCGTCATTCTCCTACGAGACAAGCCTAAACACCGGGCCAAGGCGCTGGAGAAGTTCATGAACATCGCATTTGTAAGTTTCTTGGGGGTGATATCTTGTTTGTGTGCTGCAACTAATCTGGCTGGGTAGAAACTCCGGCGACTGAATAATTACAACTCCCTCGGGGCTCTCATTGCCGGGATCAATGGAACCCCGGTGCACCGACTCTCGCAGACTCGGGAGTTGGTGCCGACGCAAACGCAAAAAGACTTCATGAGGCTGGTCATCCTCATGGGAACACAGAAGAGCCACTTCGCGTACCGCCTGGCATGGGACAACTCATTCGCAGAGCGAATTCCGTTCCTGCCGCTGCACCGACGCGACCTGGTTTCGGCGGAGGAAGGAAACAGGACCTTTGTGGGTGACACGAAGACCCGAATTAATTGGCGCAAGTTTGAGGTGATGGGCGAAGTGGTGCTGGGGATCCAACGAAGCCAGAAGACACCATATCCACACCTGGCGCGATACGACGAAGTGACGCGGCTGATTCTGGACATCAAGCTGTCTGGTGATGACGAGGTATGTTTTTGTGTGTGTGTGGTGAATGAGCAGGATCTGACAAAGAACAGGATTTGTATACACGCAGTATGCAGGTAGAGCCCTCCGCTGGCGGTGACACAGGACGGAAGAAGTTTGGCTGGTTGCGGTCCTGAAGGGACGAGAGAGCGTATAATGACCACTACGGAGATACAGCATGCGCAAGAGTGCAGGCTGACGAGGACCATGAATGTTACGATCGTCGTTTTGATGATGTACATACATACATACATACATACATACATACATACATACATACATACATACATACATACATACATACATACATACCTACCTACATACATACCTACATACCTACATACATATATACATATACTTTTATTGTAAGACACCATGTAGTTAGTATCACCATTGTTACTAGATGGCCAGGCTAGCTAGTTTGAACTACCTTTTTGCCTGTAGGCGGGACAAATAGATCACGTGAAGCTACACCGGCCCGAACCTCGCCCTCCGATAACATCCCCTGTAGGACTAGAACTAACCTACACGACGCGATTTCACCTTCTTCAAAAAACAACCACAATCAAAACACAATCTCCCTACCTCCCTGGAACCAGAAAACATACAACCCAACAAACCATATCCACACCTCACCAACCCAACCCCAAGAACAACCAAAACCGCCACCAACCCCTCCAAACCCAAACCCCGCGACCTCCCCCCAAAAAAAGAAAATGTCCACCATCTCCGCAAAGACCACCTACCGCGCCCTCCTCCGCGAACTGCCACGCCGCAGCCTGGCCACCCCGACCCCGCTGCATGCGAGCGTCCGGAAGATGTACGAAGAGCCGGTCTTGGTGGCTGCGGGTGGCGCTGCCTCGAAGACGACCGGAACCGGTGACAGCCACGCCGCCGCCGCGCAGCAGGACACGCTCGCCCACCGGCTCCAGGAGGCGGAGCAGTTCGCGCAGTACGCCCGCGCGCAGCGGCAGTATGCCGCGCTGATCGAGCGGTATAACCCCGGGAGCTGGTTGGATGAGGAGGAGCGGATTCGGTTGACGGCGCGGCGGGTGGGGTTGGATTTGCCGGTTGAGGGGCAGGGGCAGACGGAATAGGAGGGAATGATTTCGATGTGTTTTTTTTTGAGGCAGGGGAGGCAGGGGGAAAAGGGAAAAGCTAGGGGGAGTTTGGGGGGTTACGCTATTGGATAGGGGTGGTTGAGGGTTGGGTGAATGTTTTATGATGTGCTGTGGGTGGATTGGACTTGTATATTATTGTTTTGCATGTGGGACTGGAGTTTTGGCGGGGGTTAAGTTTTTTTTTATATACTGTTTTTTCGGGGGGGTGGTTTATGTACGTGTGGTGGTTGTCTTGGAGTGATGATTATCATTTGTGTAAAGTATAGTGGTATATGAGTTGCCCGTGGCTGGTGGCTCTATTATATGTCTGGTCGGGGTAACTTAGCGGACCGCTTGCTGCATCAGCTGGGGTCCTCTGGCGGGATGCGTGACTGTCCTGTGGTGTGGATCAGGTCCTAGTCATATAGACCCAGTTATCAGTTGATCTGGCATCCTTGTCTTCATGTCTCGTCTCTCGTGCCTCATGACTCGGTGGTCTCGGCTTGACCACACACACCAATCCCCTCACCCTCCCAGCTCGACCTTCTCCATCTGTCGCCGCAGCGTCGAGCGGCTCTCCTCCTCCCCCGCGCCCACCTCCATCTCAATGGCCGTGCGCGGCCGGTTCTTATTCAACCCCTCGAGCAAGGTACACGCTTTGCACACCCGCTGACTGGAGATGTACCCGCAGCGCTCGCACTTGCCCAGCACCTGCGACTTGACCGCGGCCTTTCTCCGGTCTGCCTGCTTCTTCTGCGGGAGCGACGACAGCGTCACCTCGGTCTCGCGCTCCGCCGCGACCTCATCCTCGGCCAACTTCCTCTCCATCTCCGCCATCTCGCCGCCACGCGTCCGCGCACTGCCGCCGCCCTGACTCCCGCACCCGGTCGACTCGGCGGCCTCCTCATCGGCGGCCGCCCCGCCGCGCACCTCCGCGGGCACCAACTCCGCCATCTCCTCGCCGCTGCGCACGATATCCAGAATCGAGCTCGGGCGGATCTTCTCGAGATCCTTGATCAACGTGCGCGCGCTGCCCCGGAACGCCTCCGGCGAGTAGATGCACTCGGTGCTGAAGTAATCCAGCTGCTTGTGGTGGGCATACAGCACGATCTCCTTCTCGTAGGCGTACTTGAGCGGCTTGCTGCGCTTGATGTCGCTGGCGGCGGAGCCGGTCACGATACTGGTGCCCCGGGCGAGACGCGGCAGATCGCCGCGCAGCAGGTTCATCATGACCGTCTCGGCGACGTCGTCGGCGTTGTGGCCCGTGACCACATGCCGGATGCCCAGCCGCTCGGCGCCGCGGTCCAGCGCCTGCCGCCGGAACACGCCGCAGTACGTGCAGTTGCCCTTCTTGCCCACCTGCGCCACCACCTGGTCCATCGTCCAGCCGTACAGCTCCCCGTACCCCAGGATCACGAGCGGCATGCCGTACTGCGTCGCGTTGCGCTTGACCGTCTCCAGGCTGTCGTCGCGGTAGCCCACGATGCCCTCGTCAATCGAGAGCAGCGTCAGCTCCAGCCCGTAGTCGTACCGCTCGTTCAGCGTTTTGAGGACGGACGCCAGCACCGTGCTGTCCTTGCCGCCGCTGGCGCCGATTGCCACCCGCTCCCCGCGCTGGAACAGCTTCGTCGCCGTGATCGTCTCGTGGACCTCGGTCTCGAAGATCGTCAGGAAGCAGCCCCGGCACAGCCGCTGCCGGTTCTTCGGCCGGATGATCACCGCCCGGTCGGCGTGGCAGATTGCGCACGGCGTGGGGGGCATTTTCTTTGGTGTCTCTTGCTCTGAGGAGTCTTGTGGGTGAAGGGCGAAGAGTGGAAGGTAAAGGGATTTGCTGGGGGAATCTGTTTAGTTTGATCGAGTTGATTGGAGGGGTAAGAGGTGAGAGGCAATTTTCCTGGAGAGCGCGGGTTGGGTTCGAAGGAGAAGGAGAGGAGAGGGATGGAATTTCTTATCGATAAGCTGGGGACGAAATGGTGGGTGGGTAGGGATTAGTCATGTGCTTTTCCTTGGGTTTGATTTGTTTGGTTTGGTTGTGGTTGTTTACTGAGCGGAGCGTGGAGCGCTGCCATTCAATGGCGCTGATTCTAAGCAAATATTTCTCTGATCATGCATTAATAAGTATACCCTGTAAGAATCATCTATAGGCAGAGTCCAAACCCGAGCTCCACAGAAAAGAGTCCGCCGAGAGTCTAGTCTAATCTCGGACCCCCCCCCCAAAAAACTGCACTTCACTTTACGTGTCCCGTAGTATACAACATTTTCTGCTTTCATCTTACATCTTACATCCACCCTATCGTTTCATCTCCACCGAGAAAACGTTTACATCTTCCCCTTCAGCGCGTTGGAGATCATCTCCCGGCCGGTGATGCGCGAGGTGGCCCACAGGGTCGGGAAGTCCAGCGTGCTGGAGAAGGTGTCGGCGTACCCGAAGAACAGCATGGGCGGAATCCAGCCCCGGGCGTACTCGAGCGCGAAGCACGAGGCGTCCATCTTGTACTGCTTGACCTCGCCGCGGCGCAGGTGGTGCACGCTGCCCTGCGGATACACCTCGGGCTCGTAGGCGCCCGGCACGTAGGCCAGCTGGGTGCCCTGCAGGATGTTGAAGTAGTCGTCCGCGGTGTGGCGACCGGTGTGGCCTTCGGTGCCGATGGCGGTTCCTGGTGACGGAGTGGTTAGTTTTTGTGGTTGTGGTGGTTTGATATTTGGCTGGTTTTATATAGGGGAGTGGGGAAGGGGGAGGAGAAGGAGCGGAAGGGGGTGGGAGTTTACCGAAAATGATCAGGTACTCCGTGATACCTAGGGATTATAAATAGGTTAGTGGGATCCATGGTAAATATAGAGTAGATTGGGACGGAGGGAAAAACGCACTAGCATGGATGATGTACATGGCGCCCATGGCACCGCCGGCATTGTTGAACACCCATTCCTCGTCGTGGTTGATGTGGGTGCCGGGGACCTTCTCGTCCAGCTCGGCCACAATGTAGTTCACCACGGAGCGGGTGTCGTTGCCGTGGGCGGCAATGGCGCGCTGGGAGAGGTCGTGCAGGTGGTCAGGGTCGAAGATGTAGAATTGCTCCAACCGGGCATTCAGGTAGTTGTACAGGCCGGAGAAGAGGGCCAGGAGGGCCACAGCGATGCTGATGGCGCGCATGGCTGTGAGAGAGGATATTGCCTGGCCAGGTGGAGACGGGGAGGAGGAGGAGGAGGAGGAGGAGGAGGAGGAGACAGAATATGATGAAGGAGGGGATAGGGAGGTGGGAGGTGTTCAGTAACCTCGAGTGACAGCTTTGGATGGTGTTTGGTTGAATGGGCCGATGGATTGTTTTCTTTTCCGAGTCCCGCAAAATCCCCAATCGGGCTTAGTGGAGGTGAGATGAAGCTGGAGATGCTCGGCTTAGTAATACCGTGCCGGTCTGTAAGGGCTTAAGGAGAATCTACTAATTCTAAGGCAACCACCAAGAAACACACGAGTATTCATCCATCATGCTATGCGAGCATACCGTTCTACTCTTTTGTTCCTTCTCACGCCAGTGGATACATGCTCTGGAATCTGGATACATTTACAAGCTCTAGACCCAGTAGCTCCATCTAGGGTCCGATTTAGTCTCGGTTCTCTTCTCCCAGAACTCGAGGTGGAGATTGAAGGATATTAACGCATGTGCGCTGAGCCCCTGAATCCACGCCGCCAGCCAGTCGCTAAGCACTCGGCTCAACCAACATGGATGCAATCGACTAGAGGCAACCTGCCGCTAGAAGACTCGACAGTCTGCAGCTAGTGACCCCAGGATTCTTGTCCTGTCCTGTATGTAGTCATGTTGCTATGCCGTGCTACCGCATCTCTCCTGCATATGAAGACATGGGCGGCGGATATATGTTTTGTAGAAGTGCAAAGTGCAACGCGCAAAGTGCAAAGTGCCGGTGTCAACTCAGCGCTGTCCCCGGAAATAATGTAACCACCAGACCAAACCCACCCAAAATCATGGAGGCGTCTTCGAGGCGTCTTCCACGCGGCTGTACCTCGGCCGCTCCATTAATGCTTAGCTCGCAGCCATCATGAGACAGGGGTCCGTTAGTCTCTCTCCCAAGACTCAAGAGTCGAGGAAAAATCTTGTCCACTGCCAATTAAACTATACGTCAACTCGGAACCTTGTTCTATGCGGCCGACCTGGCCTCCTCGACGACATGTCTGATATCTCCATGATTCGCAGAGCTGTCTCGATGTGCTGATCCTTTTCCATCATGATGCAACCATCGCATGCTATAATCCAACCTCGTGCACGTGCAAAAACTCTCTCTCCTCATCTGTTCTCTAGATCCCCTTCGTGGATACTATATGATATGAGCATTAATTTAATCCCCTCTCTTCCGGTTTTTCCGTCCATAAAAATAGCCCAAGTCGAGGTCGGGCCTTCGATCGCCTTAATTACGCCCCGTTCTGACGAGGGCGGAATTGGTTCCCAGATCATTCCCAGATAATTTATCCGTCGTCTCCCCTTATCGCATTCGAAACGGCCCAGGGAAATGAAAAGGTGACGAATCCACCGACTCCCCTGGCTTAAACCTGTCTTGACTGGATGTGTCGAACGTTGTCCGCTCCTCTGCACGGAGCATCCCGTGGAACCGTTTCAAATGAAGAAATAGCCCGGTGTTCGACCCTATCGGTCTTCTCCCTCGTGGTCCACCGGCTCCAGCGGGGACGGAGAATCCAGAAGGCTTCGCTCATGCTGACTGCTCAGGTCTCAATCCCCTTCCAAGTTGGAGCAAGTTGGAGGGACTAATCCACCCCGTTGTTTCTGCTTGATTGAGGCCAAAGCCACAGCTCAGACGAACAGGCTTCTCAGCAAACCCACCCAGGATTTGTGCCATGTGGGATGCTTATTTAAAGAGAGCTCATCGACCTGCCATCATGTCAGATTTCTTCCCTACCAGCATCATTCATTTGTGGCCAGTGGACGTTGATCGCACATTGAACCAACCCAGCCGACCGATTGTCCTTCCTTACCTTATCACCAAATAACCATCTTTTCACCATGAAGCTTTCCCTTCTCTCCCTTGCCACTTTGGCTTCCGCTGCCAGCCTCCAGCGCCGCAGCGACTTCTGCGGTCAGTGGGATACCGCCACCGCCGGTGACTTCACCCTGTACAACGATCTTTGGGGCGAGAGCGCCGGCACCGGCTCCCAGTGCACTGGAGTCGACTCCTACAGCGGCGATACCATCGCTTGGCACACCAGCTGGTCCTGGTCCGGAGGTAGCAGCAGCGTCAAGAGCTATGCTAACGCCGCTCTGACCTTCACCCCCACCCAGCTGAACTGCATCTCCAGCATTCCTACCACCTGGAAGTGGTCGTAAGTGGCTTGTTCTGTCCCGAGAGCGGGGGAGAGACGCAACTGACCCGAATGGATAGATACTCCGGCTCTAGCATCGTTGCCGACGTCGCTTACGACACATTCCTGGCCGAAACCGCCAGCGGCTCTTCCAAGTACGAGATCATGGTCTGGCTCGCGGCCCTGGGCGGTGCTGGCCCCATCTCGTCGACCGGATCGACCATCGCCACCCCGACGATTGCCGGCGTCAACTGGAAGCTGTACTCCGGCCCCAACGGTGACACCACCGTCTACAGCTTCGTCGCTGACTCGACCACCGAGAGCTTCTCCGGTGACCTGAACGACTTCTTCACCTACCTGGTCGACAACGAGGGCGTGTCCGATGAGCTGTACCTGACCACCCTCGAGGCGGGTACCGAGCCCTTCACTGGCTCCGACGCCAAGTTGACCGTCTCCGAGTACAGCATCTCCATTGAGTAAATCAAACGTTGAGTGTCACGGATGGCCGACCGTGTTGCGTGGACGGGGAGCCTGACGGGAGACGGGTGGGGATGGAGGTGGGAGAGAATGTAGGCGCCGTGTTTCAGTCCCTAGGCAGGATACCAGAAAACCGTGTGGTAGGAGGTTTATAGGTTTCCAGGAGATGCTGCATAGGGATAAATGAGACAGGACGGTGGCTACGCTCGATCCAACCATATCCTGTACATACAATGCATATACTCATACCAATTATACATACAAACAAACAGATATACAACTATGGTCCAAATTTATCTACTAGTCTGCTAGTTACTAAGCTTAAGGTATTGGTCCGGCGGTTGGATGAGTGCCAGAGCTTCAGTTGTTTCAATTCAATTCTTCAACATTATCTAATTATAACCAACTTGCATCTGGCATGGCGATAAGAATAGCAGCATCAGACAACGGGGCGGGCGCTTAAGTACGGCAAGTGCAAGTGCAGGTGCAGGTGCAGGTGCAGGTGCAGCAACTAACTAATTCTAATTAGTGCAGCCGGCGGCGTCATTTGGATCGCAGGTACTCCGTACTTTCTTACCTTTACTCAGTAAGTTATCTCAGCTACCCCGTACACTTCAAGACATTTCCGCTCCTGGTAATGGACGGCAACCCTGAGCTCATTGGAATGACAGCCCTTCGTGGGCGCTCCTGTCTGGACCATTCTCGACATTACCTGGGTACTCGAGTCCTCGACTGTCCACCAGTCAGTCGGATCTTTACGCGTGCCAGGATCGTGGCGTCGACGCGCTGACCTGCCAACCCTTGATTCCTGCATCTCGTGGCTGCTCCAATCATTGCCGCATTTCAGGCTCGCGCGCGCCAAACCCCCGACGATCGGCCCTGCGTGAGCCATGCAGCTCATGAGACCATGGCCATTCAACTCTCAATAATGCCCAAAGGGTATTGCAGCTTGTTGCAGGAGCAGAAAAAAAATAAGGAAAATAGTCAGTCAGGGCAATCAGTCATTCATCCACTCATCCACTCATCCCACTTCCCCCTCATGCATACTCTGCGCGTCGCCGTCCTTGCAGCGCCAGCCTTTTTCTGTTGCGCGCATACTGTCTCCTCAAACCCACCCACCCCCTCTTCTATCCTGCACCACTGGGCACCCTAGGGCTTTTCCTTATATCAAGCCCTCTTCGCTGGGTGGTTCAATGCGCTCTCTTTTCTCAATATCGTCAACAGTTCCATTCCTTTTTCCACCGGGGTTTCACCACTACTACCCAAATCAATTTCATCGTCTCATTCGGTCTCTCTCTTTTACACTTTTCCTCCAGATACGTCCGGCATCCACTTGGTGTCTCAAAGCGTGTCTCAGTCCCGGTCACCCATCGCACCCCCATAGCGATCGCTCCCCAACTACAGTTGACGCGACAACCACGCATTCCTCTCCTGCCGGCAGGACTGACGTACATTCATTCAGCTACTCTAATATATCCTCGACAATATCCGGTCGACTGTATTGCTTGCCACACGAAATAGTGTACCTGTTTCTTCTCTCCCTTTCCTCTGCTCTGCACGGTCTTGCCCACGATGACCGCTCATCCCTACCTAGCCTACTCTAGCAGCACCCCCAACATGGTTTCCGCTGCCACTACGACAGCGACGACAACGACCACCATGGATCTGAACCGGGCAGCCCTGCATGAATTCATCATGCAGCCGGTGTCGCGGGGGATGGTTGCGCACTTGGCCGAACAGGCCTCACAGGTCATCCGCTGCGAAGCGCATGTGACGGCACAACAAGCCCACGGACAGCCGACACCTCCCAGCACACCTCCCATGGATGCGACTCTACCACCACTCCCCTCGGTAGAGACGTTCATTGCTTCCCTGGTTGCTCGATCACAGGTTCAGGTGCCCACCTTGATGACCTCGCTAGTCTACCTAGCGCGACTGCGTTCCCGCTTGCCCCCAGTGGCCAAGGGCATGCGCTGTACCGTCCATCGCATCTTCCTCGCTTCGCTCATCCTTGCAGCCAAGAACCTGAACGACTCGAGCCCCAAGAACAAGCACTGGGCTCGGTACACGGCCGTCAAGGGCTATGACGGATTCGCGTTCCCCCTGCCCGAGGTCAACCTCATGGAGCGCCAGCTGCTGTTCTTGCTTGACTGGGACACTCGCGTCACGGAAGCCGACCTGCTGCAGCACCTAGAGCCATTCCTGGCCCCAATCCGCAGTCGCTACCAGCAACAGCAGCAGCAACAGCAACAGCGCGAAGTTGAGCGTCGCCAATCCCGAGATTGGCGTCGCTTCCACTCCTCCACGGATCTCCTGACTTCCCGCCTGCGCCGTCAGAAATTGGATGCCCGTCGACAAGTGGTGGATGCCGCCTATCAGCAACCCGAACGACGGATGATGGCAGCCAGCCCGGCCTCATCTGTGTCTTTGTCATCCATGTCTTCTGCGTCGTCCGTCTCAAGCTCAAGCTCAAGCTCACATAGCGCCTCTCCCGCCCCCTCGCTAATTGATGCTGCGGCCGATCGTTATCACCCATACCCGACTGGCCGCCGGCGTCCTACATCCCGCGGTCGGATGTCGGGCTCTCCTCCGGGCGCGCAGGATGTGCCCGGACTGTCACGAGCCGATACTGCAACTTCCTTGAGCTCGCGGGCGTCCAGCCTGTCCTCCAGCTCGCGCGCTGTCACTCCGGCGAGTCTCCGGAACTCCAGCTCGATCACCAGCTTTGAAGAGCCCGTGCCCGTGCGCGTGGTGGATGGTGGCCACAGCCCCTCCTCATTTGTTGGTGGTGGGTTGCCACTGGAGGAGTGTCTGCCGCCCGCTCAGCCCAGCAAGAAGATGCGTCTCGGCTATTCTGGACACGCAGCTCATCCCCACGGCCCCGCCCACCTGGTCGCCGCTGGCGGTCATGGGTTCGTGGCCCGCTTTCTCGCCACGGCCGCGGGGTCGTACATGGGCGGTCGCCGACACTAAACTTAGATATCATTGAGCTGGTCTCGATGGTTCCTCCTCCTCTGTTACATGATGATGTCTTAATGTTTTGTTCTGATTATTGATTTGCGAAAAGCACTTGAGGGGTCTACTCACTTACCCCCGTTACGAACGATCTTCCAATACCCTGCCACTCTTTACCTTCTGCATTCCGCTGGCGTTGATCGTGTTTCTGCTCTTCGAGGTTGTATTTTTTTTTCTTTTTTCCATTTTTTTTTTCATTTTGAAATAAGAGGTTCTGGCAATTTTTGGGGGGGGGGGGTATTTATGTTAGAAGTTGGTGTCTCAGAATGGAAACGCAGGGCTGGATGGATATATACTCTGATGGAATCAGTTATGGAGTAAGTAAGTTAGTTTGACCATATACTTAGCTATTTAGTCAGGAAGATAATGGATCACGGATAAATAATGAAACTCCCGAAAGCGGCTATTTGTGGCTGTGCCTGTTTGGGCAGCTCGTACTTTTTCAATTCCCACCGAGTTGCCCTCGCCAAGGCACTTCAACCATGGAGGATGGCCGGAAATAGCACAGCGCGGGCCAATGAACACGGGCCCGACCGAGACCGGCCAAGAGACCCGGGGTCGGATCGGCTTGGCGGGCTCCTGGCACACTCGGAGATGTCTTCCTCAATAGATAACAGTCCAGCGGTAATCGTCCCCCCTCAGCCACTTTCTGAGACCATGTGATCAGAGAAGTAGGAGATAAGGTCAATTAGAATGACATTCCATCTTATACTGAGTAATCTATCTCAAGTACCTTTGAGCATCAGTGTCTCCACGCTCGAGCCCTCCTCGGATCGGCTTGATACACGCCAATCACCGAAGCCGGAGGTGGAGCGCCGAGCAGCTGGGCTGGCGTCATCGCCTGCGTCCGCCGAGCCAAAGGGCTGAAGGCTGATCCAATCCAATCCGCTTCCGGCCCGGTGTCAACATGGTGCTTTGATTATCATCTTCCTTCTTCTCCCCTCCTCCCCCCCTCCCCCTCCACTTCCCATCCTTCCCTCTCTCCTTCACGAATCCCTCCACCCCCCCCCCTCTTCTCTACCACAATCCTTGCAAACTATTTACTCCCTCCATAACTATAAGCCCAACTCTTTATCTCTCTTTGCTACTCGCTCCAACTTCTCCTCCTCCCCTCTCCTCCTCCCTTTCTTTGTTCTCGCTTTCTCGACCGAAGACTCCTTATCTTATCAGAAGACATCCTTGACTCACTCACACTCACTATGCCTCTCACCATCCTCTCCCAAGAGCAACTCCGTTCCCTTCTCCTCTCACTTTCCCGCGATCAGATTGTCTCCCTCCAAGAGAACCTTGCCCGTGCGCTTCGTGACTATTCGACCGGCAGTCAAGAGAAAGGGTGTGCCGCCACTTACCAACCTCAACGGACGGCGATCACTCGGCCCGATGGCTGCACCACCGTGTTCATGCCCGCAAGCACGGGCCCCACGCTAGGCATGAAGGTGATATCGCTACAAGACAAGAATTCCCAGGTGGGCTGCACCGTCGACGCCGCGTCGAAAATCTCCCCGAGCGACCGAACCGGCGTGGCTCAAATCGATAAGCGCAAATCCCTGGCCTCCATTGCCTCCGACGTCAGCGAACTCTCCCTCTCCTCGCAAGAAGGCACCTCAACCAGCAACTCCTTGACCATGACGAACAGCGGTGGCAGTGGCAGTGGCAGTAGTAGCAGCAAGTCGCTGGCGGCGGGCTGCGTCAACCAACAACCGGTCGCAGGCGGCTTATCGAAGACGATGGGGGCCTGGCCCAGTGCGGGCAGCCGAGATACCTCGCCCCAGGGAAGCGTTACGCTGCTGGACGGCAACAGTCTGCCCTTTGGATTGATCAACGCACACGAATTGACGCCCTTCCGGACCGCGCTGACCTCCCTCATGACGCTCAACAAGCGCAAGCGGGTGCGGACCATTGTGGTGTTTGGGGCGGGGAAGCAGGCATACTGGCACATCCGGCTAGCGCTGGTCCTCCGTAGCGCGGACGTCAAGCGGGTCTACATCATCAACCGATCGTTCGACCGAGCGGCGCAGCTGCTCCGGGACATCTACTCCCCGGAGAACTCGAGCTGGCGCGGGGATGTGAAATTCTCCGCCGTCAGCTCCGACTTTGTGGAGTACCCCCGCATCCTGCATGACGCGTTGCGGAAAGCCGACGCGATCTTCTGCTGCACCCCGGCCGTTGATCCGCTGTTCCCCGCCGAGATCCTGACGGCCCGTGAAGGCCGCCAGAAGGGTCGGTTGATCAGCGCCATTGGATCGTACAAACCACACATGACGGAACTCCCGCCGGATCTGCTCCGCGACGAAGTGAGCGTGCACACTCCGGGCCATCGTCACTTCCACAAGCACATCAAGCGCAGCGGGGTCGTGGTGGTCGACAGTCTTGACGCCGCTCTCAAGGAGGCCGGCGAGATCGTCCAAGCGGGGATCAAGCCGCACCAGGTGGTCGAACTGGGTGAACTGCTGATTGTGCGCGAATCCTCGCACGGTGACGCTGACAGCGATGACCACAAGAGTTTGCGCGAGTGGGTAGAACGGGGCAATGTGATTTTCAAGAGCGTGGGGATGGGATTGATGGACTTGGTGACTGGTGGAGATTTGATCCAACTGGCACGGGAGAAGAATATCGGTACGACGATTGCGGAATTCTAGCGAAATGATATCCAATGATGACTTACATTGTTTGTTTGTTTTTTTTTTTTTCTTTCTTTACATTTCTTTTTCTTGTTTTTCTTCCTTGTCTTTGATTCGGCCTAGCTACTACTTTGGTTCGGCTTCGGTGAACCTTGACCTCTCCGAGCGCCCTTCGGACTTATACTTCTTGGGCAGTACTTTGCGAGACCTACCTTGCGAGGCCTGCCTTGGCCTTACTTCCCCTTCTTCTGGTTCATATTATTAATTAGGTAGCGATTACACTTTCATGCTGACAATACAATGTGTTCTACTGGTCGATGCCTTGCAGATGGAGTCCAGAAGAAGTGGTGAGCAGACTTTTTTAGGCTCTTCTTAGGCTCTTTACAGGGCAATACTCGAGCGAAGAACTGATATCCAGCCCGGGAGTGGGGAGATGGAGGAGAAGATTGGTAATGCGCTGCTTGTCATACGCCATCTGGCTGGTCAATGCGGTTAGAGCCGTAAATTCTCGTAATTTTGGAGCCGTGGGCGGTAACGTGGAACGAAAGCTGTAATCCAGAATCCGGCCGATGACATCAACCAACCCCGTCGTTTCTTATCGTCTCGACTCATTCTCCGAGAGACATTCTCTCTCTCTCTCCTACTCTTCGCCCTCTCCGGCTTCAATTCATCTTCACGACTCGACGTGACTTCTCACTGCCGTGTCCTCTAATGCACGGTGTCTTCTCTCCAGGCTGAACCATGTCGCAGAGCGATTGCCTGCAACCCTGATTGGGAATCGCAGTGTTGGGGCCAAGACACGACTGCCCGCGAGGCTGTAAGCGGCCGTTCACCGACGACGGCGCGATCGCCAGCGGGGGGAGGGGCAGCGACGCATCATCCCACCGTCCGTCTGCCTTAGTTTCCCCTCAGTCTCGTATGCTTGTATTTTATTTTATTTACTTTTAAATCTCCCCTCCTTCTCGTCCTCCCTTCTTGACTCAGATCTTCTTCATTCTCTGTATGTAGGTCGCTGCTTCCTACGGGCTTCTCAAGATGCGCAATCGCATGTGCCATCTGCCCAACGGGCAGACCTTCACTGTGTCACCCGTCTTTGGCGGGGCTAGCTTCAAGTCGAACGACGGTCAACAGAGCCACCATGTGGTCCTCCCCGGCTGGAGCATCGTTCTGAACTCCAGCAAACCCGTCGAGAATGCGGATTCGACAATGACCGATGGATCGGAGGAGCATCGCGGCCGGGAGCGACAATCGCCGGAGGAGCTGGTGAACACCCGATTCACTTCCCCCACCTTGCGCAATGACTCGCTCTACATCTCGTACATCGTCGACCCACCTAGTAGTGAGTACAAGCCGGTCAGCTCGCCGACGCGCCAGATCGCCATGATGCTCTGGGTGACGCTCTGGTGGTACTTCCACGAACCCGAGCCCCAGCGTTACTTGACCACCGAGGCCAGCGCCAAAACTCCTACCACGGGCCGGCCCCAGGGCGATTGGCGGATCTCCATCCGACGCGAAGGGTTCTTCAAGGGTCGCACATTGCTGCAGAAGCTCGAGCGCATGGGCCTGATCGCCTCGGAGGACTCGTCGGTCGGGACCGAGCCCTACAACCCCGAGGCGTGGGCGCGTATGTTCGTGAGCCGGCGCAGCTTCTGGCAGATCGACCCCAGGCTGTTCGTGTTCACGCTGTCTCCCCAGATGAATATCCCGCCGGCGATATCGGGCTCGCCCTTCATCCAGCGGGTCGCATCGCCGTCGCGCGCGAGTATGTACCTCAATAATCCGGCGGGGCAGGAGACCGCCTCCTATACCCCGAACGAGGGCCCGTTTGCTTCGACCAGCCATCTCCCCACCTACTTCCCCCCCGCCCCGACACAGTATACCTTCACCAACGGGATCCGCCATCCGATCCGGCCCAAACCCCCGCATCAGGGTGATGTGTTCTATATTCGCTACATTCCCAGCCTACAACAGTACCTGTCATTCCGCGTACCATATTTGGGGCCCTCCGCTGCCGACCCATTCGGGGCCAAGCATGCTCACACTTCATCGAACAGTAGCATCGACCAACCGGTGACCCCTGTGCCAGGGCCTTCCGATGTCGAGTTGCTACACAAATGGATGAACGAGCCGCGAGTCAACGTCGCTTGGGGCGAGGCAGGCCCGGCCAGTCACCAAGAGGAGTTTCTGCGCAACAATCTCCGAAGTCGCCACAGTTTCCCCGTCATTGGATGCTGGGACGGTAAGCCGTTCGGCTACTTCGAGATCTACTGGGTCAAGGAAGACCAGCTGGGGCCGTTGGCCCCCGGGGGGGTGGACAACTATGATCGGGGTCTGCAT